GTGCATCCTGAGAAATCAGTTAATCATGTACTTCTGCATAATATCACACCATCGCATCCTGTCAGCTCTCATAACCCCGATTCATGTCAAAGTCAGTGAGTCTTCTTAAACATGCAGTCAGGCAAGCTGCTTTCTCGAGTGAAATTTTAAATGTCTCTAAAAGACTGTATTGTAACAGTGGTGCTCATTGTTCACTCCGGTGTTATCGCAGTTACGGCTGACTAGTTTCGCTCGCGTTATCAGTCTAACACATGCCGGACAGCGGGGAACTGGTTTCTGCTTTACCTTGGGTTCTTTGTGCAGCAGTGTTGTATTAGTGACGATGCGTATTCGGTAGTAGTCTTATTGTTTTTTTGTTTTTTTTGTACAAAGTCTGCAAACAGAAATAATGCTGGCTTATGAGTCAGACACACTGCACCTCGTTTATCTCCAGCCTCTTTACATGCAAAGAAAAACAGTTTGTTTTATAAAGACTTCATGTGAGCTGGACCAATGTAAGCTAAGATGTGTTTGATTATATAATTGCAGGATATATATTTGGAAATATATATATATATATATATATATATATATATATATATATATATAATGTGTGTGTAAAAGACTAAAGACATGAACCGATCTTGTCTCTAAATGGTTCTTATCTTCTGCCATAAACATTAAAGTTGATTATCAGAGTTTATCTGTGTACACAACAGGTTAAATGCGGGTCCTAGAGCATGGTGACTGAGTAGCAGGGCCAACGAGCTCCCAGCATTCTTCATGTGAAGAACAGATCATGACATGTCATTTCAAGAAATAATGACACTTGCACAAGTGTTTTGCTGGAAAGAATTTTAAAGAGGAGTTTTGCAATATAAGAAGACAATGATTCATGTGTTTGATGACGGACGACAATTATCAGCGCAGTATCAGTATCCTATTAAGTGTACAGCGAAAAAAAACCTTATCACCAACTAACTCTTAGAAGAAAAAAAGGTCAGGTTTACTGAACCATTGAGAGATCTTCAGCTGTCTTTCTGGGGGAATCCTTACAGTTTCTGTGTAGAACCTTAAACCAGAGAGTATGCTTCTGAATAAAACTTTGTAGGAAGCTAGGAATCTGTAAACTTTTCAAATAAACCAAGAACTATTTTTTGTAAGAATGCAGAGTTGTTTGATAAGCTTTCTTTGCGCTGATAAGAGGTAACATTAAATATAGTTTTTTAGTTTCACAGTTCAAAAGTAATTAATACTCTGTGGATGAACTAAGACTAAAAAAAAATCACATTTATAGTAAAGATAAGAAATGGAGGTCACAAAACAAGGTGAAATGTAGATGGTGTAATTCTTGGTTTTTGTAAATATAAAGCAACAATTCTACCACAATCAAAGAAACAATCCAACAAATTAAAAATGAACAAACGAACAAACTTTATCCGCACGTCTGGCCACACACCTGCCAACACCATGAGGTGTGACCGTGACAGTTGAGATATATTTCATATTTTATGTAAGGAATAAAACTTAACATGACATGCTGTTATGTGAAAATCAGTGACGAGATGGTGTGATTTATTAAAGAAAGATACGTTGTACTTTTTATCCGTTATAGTTGCGGTTAATGTTGTGGAAAGTCCGCAAAACAACTTATTTCCTGTTATCTCTTACGGTGTAGCAGCAATAAACACTCATTCTCTCACCATTCTCTCTCTTGCAGCTTGTCATGTTACCACGAAAGCTCAAAGCCGTCTGTCCTGAAGACTTCCCCATGGCAGACAACTTAATTACAACTTTGCTTCTGACTGTTAAGCACTGACACTGGAGACTCCTTCCAAAAATGCTAAATAAATATCTCTTCAAAGAAAATTCACCATATCAACAGTTTTACACGTTTAATCTGTTTATTTTGAGCTCCCCCCATATACGTCCCTGTGTTACTATGGAAACGATAACGATGAAGCTTTGTGTCATTTAGATGTTGTTTATTTAACATTTTTGGAGTTTCACTTTCCAGTTTGTAGTTATGCACTTTCCGGGTTCTTGGTAACGTGACAAACTGCATTTTTTTTTGTCTTATTAACTTTAAAAGAGAAAGGCTGGTGATGGAACGAGTGTTTAGAATGTACGTCATTAGAGAAACCTTTTTTTTTTTTTTTTTTTTTTTTTTAGCTATAAATGGTTTAAAAGTGTGATGTGTCATTCATTAATACATTAAAAATTGTAATGTTTGGTAAATCATTGTGGTATAAGAGGAATAAAACACTTCAGACTGTGCTGTTAGGGGAAAATAATCCACTTCTGGATAGTTTTTTTTCAATTGGGTAATATCACACCACCTCAGCATGGATTATTTTCCAATAACATCACAGCCCGAAGTGTGTTAGTTCTTACATATACAATTGTATCACTTGTCATACTTGGGCACATTTAGTGAACGTCGAAGTCTGCTATTTAGGATTTTCCGGTAATCAGTATTTAATAGCAAGGGACAGATCACAGATACATCGTGAACTTCTTTGTTTATGATTCAACACGATCCTACACTTGCAAATTCATTACAATTCGCATGATGCAACAATGTAATTGTATCAAAAGTTACGAAGGTTAACGCTAGCGTTGGAGCAATGTCGTATACAGTAATTTCTTCCAACTTCTTACGACGTGTGAAATCAATTATTCACATTTGTACACTTTTTTTGTACACTTGACATCAGGTACAAGTGAATACAACACTTGGCAAAAACACAAAGCAGACAAAGAGGCATATACACACCGTAATGGGTACCAGTGAGACTAATTATGAGAAACAGAAGTGAACAGTGTGAGGTGATCCGGGTGGAGCTGGAGCATGAATGGAGCAGAACTGAAAGGAAATATGAGCGCTCAGAAACATGCATTAACATGTGTGCCTTTTCTTTTAAGAGGATAAACAGAGTCTGAGGTAGGTGTGTGTGAGAGAAAGAGAGAGCATTACACTACATACACATGGCCATTGCCAATTAATGACAGTAAACCATCCAAAGCAGAGGTACTATAGTTAATTTTTTTTTTTTATATGAAATTTCCTAATTTTTTAGTTTCAGTTTAGCTTTTGATGTAACTTTGTTACTATTAATTATTTTTTTAATTGTAGAAATAATTTGATTTTATATTTTTACACATTTTAATTTTATTTTTCCCATTTTTTTCCCATTTATTTTTTTTCCCATTGATAAGGCTAGTATGCCTACATTTTTGTGTAAGAGAATTAAATTACCACTACCATGACATCCAGTAACGTTTTCTTTATTATATTATATTATATTATATTATATTATATTATTATCAGACCTACCAACCTTTATGCCTTTTGCTCCTAGCCCCTCAGTTTAACATCAGAGTACCCTAGTATGTGTTATCACTCAAAAATATGTAAGCAGCCTTTTTTTTCACCGATAAAATGGGAGATGAGTCAGGTGCACAGGTGTTTTGAACTCCCCGATATTAATTGGCACTACCCGGAAGCCCCGCCTCCTTCGGCCATCTCTCATGCCCTCGGCTGGGGCGAGAATGTTTTGAGTTCATTAATATGAAATAAAACCTATCAGTGTATGTTCAACCTAGCTAACAATAGACAAATACATATTTAATATCAGTTATAAAAAAATTTAAAAAAACAGCACTATGAGTTTCTGGGAAAAAAGGACCCAGGCAGATTAAATAGGCCTACAACAATGTGTCACTCTACAAACAATTTTAATGGTGATTATGATTAGAAAGATGATTAAATGCTATGCTTTTGGAGGATTTTTGTCTCTCCTATGACGCTCTGCACTCAAACACGTCCAAACACTTTGAGCAGCAGATCAACAGTAAAATGTCAGCCATGTGGACATTAGACAACCAATTTGTCAAAGAACAAATATTTAAAATATATTAAAAATGTACTTTTTTTTTTTTTTAACTATTTACTGCGTATTACTGCCAAATCACCTAAAAATCCACCTTGCTGCTGAGCTTTTGCAGTTGCCACTGCCAGCCAGCAGTTCCCGACTACACAGACGGTAATTATAACACCCTCCTGGTTCTGAGCACTTAAATCGTTGTTGTGATTTTTTTAAAAAAGGATAAATCACAATCAATCAATATTGCATGTTTTTCAGAAATGTCTGATAGTCAGTGCTGATTGTTTAATGGCGATCCAGAGTAAAAAAAAAAGATGCTATGCTTTAGTGTTTTAGTCATGTATATGCAAAGAAAAACAATGTTACACTTTGATTACTGAATCAATGTGTGTCTTGCTGTATGATAGAGCTTTTAGAATGAATTTCACTGTTCATAATATTTCAAAATATTTACAAATTCAACAGTATACCTTCATATTCGATTTTTTTTCCCCCATTTTTGTTCATTTCAATCATTCATTACTTTTTCTGTGGCTGAATCCCAATTAGTTTGCAGTTTTGGATTAAAAACAAATGCATTATTTTTAGCTTTAATTTGTAATGAGAGTAGATGTTGTTGGGGAAAATAATTTGGGGTTTTTTCAAGGTTTTTTTTAAACTTCACTGAAAATGTAGAGGTGGCACTTTTAAATTTCAAGTGCTTAAACTCGCAGTTAATTATTGAACTATTTATTAACTACCATTGATTATTCAGTAACCTCAGTGGCATTAAAAGGAACTGGATGCAGGTTTGAGAGTGAGGAATGTAAGTCTGGATCTGCTGAGAGATCCTGAGAGTTTAAGGCATTAAGGGAAAACAAAGCCTGTTAAGCTGATTGTTCTGATTTCTATTTATTGTATATTTGTAATTATAGAGCTGCTTTTCTTTTGCCTGTAAGATGCAAAATAATTTGACATACATCACTAATGCTAGTGCTAGTTTTTTATGCAGCAGAAATACACTCCGAGTTGGAGGAATATTAGGAAATCGTATTTAAAATGAACATTTCTCTTAGTGTGTTGGTAACCTTATGAATGCTATAAACATGCATTTTTAAATTTAAATTCCAGTGAAGTACTAGTTACCTCTTTTGGTCCCTGGAGGACTAGTGGTTATGCCTCAGCGGTCTCACTCACCGCTGCGGCCCGGGTTAGATTCCCGGCCAGGGAACCAACCCCATGCAACAGTGCGCACTCAGTGCCGGTCTCAAGCCCAGATAAAATTGGGGAGGGTTGCATCAGGAAGGGCATCTGGTGTAAAAATCAAATACATGGATCAATGATCCGCTGTGGCGACGCCTAACGGGAGCAGCTGAAAGAGCAACAACTAATTACCTCTTTTGAGTGACCGGCGATCTTAAAAATTTTTTGCTGTTTCACAGGTATACGATAGATATAAGAAAGATAATAGATATATGATAATAGATATCCGCTAATATTCTGTTGACTTTATTAGCAAGTGCTAATAGAGGCCCACTGGGGCAGGAATCATGCTGCCTCATGCTCCGGGATGGAGTAGCACACAGGACAGTTAATGACAGGGTTACCTTCCAAACTGGACTAGTTTACAAATGCTCAGCAGATGTCAAGACATCAGACATGCGTGCACATCACAGTGACCTTGTTTCCCACACAAACGCTGAGAGAAAGAAGAAAAATGTTTCTTCTTTTACCAATGCCCCAGTTTTTTGGGCTAGTTTCAGGTCTTTTGTGTAGTAGTTGGGCTACAGATTTTGCTGAAACCTGGCAACCTTGGTTAATGATATTAGATCTTCAGGAAACTCATCTGCAAACAAACAGTGTTGACTCTCAGCTACCTAATACAGGCTTACTCTAAAAATTCACTAGATAGAAGCCTATAGCATAGGTCAAGTGTAATAGCCTCTCGGCTTCATTTTGTTTGAGGCTATGTTGTTAATAATGTCGGCCTGCCACACCTAAATCTGTGGTCACGATCCGCTGGTGATCTACAGCAAACTCATCATGTCTTCAAATGAACTCTGAAACTGGACAATATTTATTACTGTTAGTGCTTGAATCAGTGTTGTTCACTTGTTCTGTATGTTTTTCTACAGTGCGGGTGTGTTCAAGTGCCCAGAAGATCAGCTGCCTCTCGACTACGCTAAAGTACGTGCTTCATTTTCAGCCTCACATCACAGGAAGAGATTTCAGCTCACAAAGCTAACATGTCTTTGAGTACAGTTTGTTGCACTCCTGAGTATTAGCACGTGGTTTAATTGTGGTGCTCTTTGGACAAACTGCAGATACATTGCACTCGCTGTGGTCATATGGAGACTTCACCACTGGGGTGACATGGTGGTTATTTTATATTACACCACAGCACTACTGAATGCTCGATTCTGATTGGTAGAAGGTGTTTATTAACAGTAGTAGTCAGACAGTAGTAGCAGTTTGGCTGCAAGGTTTACATTAATGCACTCATTCTAATACGTTATCATTTCTATAGGAAAAATTTACACAGGGACTTGAACTTAAAGAAAGCAAAAAAAGATTAAAACAAAGTGTAATATTATTAATAATTGCCATGATTAAGTTCCTGGGGCCATAATGATTGAATTCAACTAAATTCTCTGTGTCTTACACATTTTAAAATGCAATAGGTGCAACGATTTAAGCACTTTGTGGCCACACAATAGTAACAAAAATGTTTAGAAGCTCAACTCATGGCCTCAATATATATAAACTCAAGGTCATGCCTTTTTTTGGATTTCTCCCCATTTTTCTCCAAAATTTGTTCACCTGCCCCTTCCCACCCTCCCGTTTACTCTGCCCTATCGCACGACAGCTTCACCAACCAGGGAGAGTGAAGGCCAACACATGAAGTGCTATCTGCCCTCTTCTGCACACAAGAGCTCACAGACACCCATGATTGGTTAGTGTTGCTGTGATTGACAGGAGAGAGACATTATGCCGCTCCCACCCAGGGTCAGTTTTGCTCTCTTGGCTCCTGGCCATGGATGGCTGTGGCATTGTCAGGATTCGAACTCTCAATCTCTGGACGATAGTGTGAACGTTTTTCTGTTGTGCCACTAGGGAGCCATAGCCACACCTTAAAAAAAAAATAATAAATTGCCACCCTGTCACCTCAGCACCTCTCTGTAAATATTAATGAATAAATGTACTCGAATAGTATACGTTTTTCTTTTTAGTTACAATTGCAGATCTTTCTGTCATACACAAAATTAATCCTGCAAAATGAAAATAATGGATTGTAATGTGCTGTGTAGATTTTTCCGGATGTAGAGTTGGAGCAGCAGATTCTGGCTCTGCCCATCCGCTGCATTCACAGCGAGGAGGGTTGCCGCTGGTCAGCACAGAATAAGCAACTTCAGGTAAAACACACACACAAACACACACACACATGAAGACTGACTGCTTTTCTGAAGGATTTTGACATTTTAGTTTAATGTGCTCTCTGATTTTTAGCTAAATAATATGCTGAGAGGGAAAAGTGGTGAAAATTAAAAGCACTATTGAATACTGGGATCTGATTGGTCAGAAGGTGTTGATTAATTTTCTCTAACAGCAGCTCTGACAGTAGTGCCGACCATAATTCAAATAACACATTTATATTACACTAACAGGTTATCATTTCTATAGTAACAAAAAAATTTACAGGAACTCATATGGCAGATGATCTACATAATGTAAACCTAATAATAAATGGATTTTAGAAACATGTTTTTATTTAACAAAGAACAATGTATAATAGTTGACATGATGACGTTTTCTATAAGGAGATGTTTGTTTAACATTTATGGAAGGAGTCTCCAGCGTCAGCACTTTTGGAGTTTGTCTTTTTGTCTTATTAAATTCAAGAGAGAGAAGAAAGTGATAACAGGTTCTCATGTGGACATTCCATAACACTAAATGTAACTATAAACTGATAAAAAAAAGTACAGTGTTTTTCATAAATAAATAAATAACTGTAATTGACAGATTGCTGGGGAACAAAACACTTCAGGTTGTGCTGCTGTTTGAAAATGATCAACTTCAGGGTGGTAACAGTAACTCCGTTTTGCGTCAGGCCACATCACACTACCCTGTTTTTGATTATTTTCCTATAACAGCATGCCCCCTGCTGTTTTATTCCTTACATATTGCATTGCCATTGTCCTTGAACCATAGGTTTACATCATTACTTGTAAATTTAGTGATGGAAAAAAAATACAAAGATGGTAAGCGCGATAAAGAAAAAAGGTTGGCCCTCAGCGTGCGCTTCAGCACTCTCATGTTTATAAAGTTATAATTTGACCTGTTTCAGAGGAGGGTATTAAGTTTCATCATGGTTATGAGCCTCTACCATTTAGCTACCGGTAATTAGGCTACTGTTATTATCAGAGGAAGACGATGCAGGCTGATAACAATGAGGTCACTAACAACCGTGAAAGGCAGAGATCGCGCTTTATACGGACTCATTATGAAGAAAACAGCTGCTGATTGTAGATTTTGATTCATTTATACGAAATGATGACATAAATATGCCTCAGATGAGTGCACTAACTACATTTAGTTTGTACAAACTTAAAAATGAACACCAGTAAAGTAAGTCGTCTCAAGTTTTTTCTGAGATATTTGGAAGTCATTACAAATTTTATTCAAGGAACTCGCAGTGTTAGTATTATGTGTAAGTTTTCATAAACAGAAAGGTATTTTGATTGTTTTCCCCCCATTTTCTTCTAATTTGTTCACCTACCAATTCCCACCCAGCAGCCAGGCTGAAGGCTAACATGTGCTTCCTCTGAGACATGTGAAAACGACTTCCACATCTTTTCAAACTGCTGCTCATGCTACTTCACAGAGCAGCGTAACACACACTGCAGAAAGCGCTGTCTTCCCTCTTCCACATACACGGGCTCACAGATGGCTAGTGTCACTGTGATTGACAGGGGGAGAGAGTATGCCCCTCCCACCCAGACAGCATGGCTAATTTTGCTCCCTTGGCTCCCCATCACGGATGGATTTAGCATTGTTGGGGTTAGTCTCTTGATCTGCCAACAATAAGGCAAAGGCTTTTCTCTTGCATCATTCAAGAGCCATTTTGTTTAGTTTTTTTTTGTTTTGTTTTCCCTGCTGAAAAATCCAGCTTGGTCAAACTGACCAGCTGGTAAGTGCTGATAAAAAGGATATGGCTTCTGAATACTAGCTACTAATGGTATTAGAAAAAAATATTTTTTGAAGAAAGAAAACAACAATTTGGCAATTAAAAAATCTCAAACATTTATTCAGTCTATTCATGTTGTAAAGAAGCTGAAAAATAACTTTTAGCAAAGATGGTGTACCAGTTCGAGCAGCTCGGCCTGTGTTTTGGTAGCTTTTTCAGACTAAGCCGGATTTTTCAGCTGGTCTACAAAGTCACCCAAGCAATAACTGTTGGATCATACATTCTGTCTAACCATTAAACTGTGACACTGTACTGTACCTGGGAGAGAAAATACAAATGATGTGGGGCACCAACATCCAACCCATAGCTACTGAGCTGTCAGTCATATGCATGCCAATTCACACAGCTCATCTTTTTGCATGTGTTTTATTGAAGTTGCTATAGGATGGAGCCAAGAAGTTTCAAAATGACTAGCTTCACCTAACTTCAGTACAATGACTCATCATCAATCTCTCTGCGTCTGTGTTTTAGGCCCATCTTTCAGTATGTACCTATAACGTGGTGCCGTGTCCTAACCGCTGCATGCTGAAATTGTTGAGGCGTGATCTTCCTCAGCACCTGCAGCATGACTGCGCTAAGAGAAAGCTGCGCTGTGACCACTGTGCCGAGGAGTTCACCGGGGAAGCACATGAGGTCAGACCTTATAGAGACCCTAAAACTCTGTGAAATTGCCATTCCATATGATCAGAAAATGAATAAAAGGGCTTCTCTGACCTTCCTGCAAATGGTCTGTTCACAGTAAAAATGCAGCACAAATTAATAGAATGCTTTTGTTTTCTCATCATACGGGGCATTGACTTCATGAAGGTTTTGTGTGAAGTATTGATGTGCTTTCAATTGTAGTTTCATTTCGTTATGTTTTAGTCACTTATTTAGTCATTCATTATATTTATATTTATTTATTTATTTGCTAATAAGTTCTGAATTTTTTTTGGCATTGTAAACAAGCATTTGCCAGTAAATTTGTTGACAAGTTTAAAACTTTT